GCAATGAATATATAGGACTTCTGGTAGAGTTTGGTGTCAATTAATTTTGAACTCAGTGTTCAGAGCCTTAATTTTCACCTAGCTAAAATAAAATCAATTTTCACTTTTATGTGGAGTTCAGATAAAACAGTGATGTGAAAAAGCTATACAAATTACCCAAAGAAATTGAAAATTTAAGCCCACACAAAAACCTGCACATGGATGTATATAGTAGCTTTATTGATAATTGCCAGGATTAGGAAGCAACCAAGATATCATTCAGGAGGTGAACAAACTGGTACATTCAGACAATGGAATATTATTCAGTGCTAAAAAGAAATGAACTATTAAGTTATGAAAAGACATGGCAGTACCTTAAATGCATATTAGTAAGTGAAAGAAGCCTATCTTAAAAGGCTATACACTATATGGTTTCAACAATATGACATTCTGGAAAAGGTAAAAAGAGACAGTAAAAATATCAGTGGTTGCCAAAGGTTGGGGGGGCGGGGAAGATGACTTGACAGAGCACAGAGGATTTTTAGGGCAGTGAAACTACTCTACATGATACTATAATAGTGGATACACGTCCAAACCCATAAAATATGCAACACCCATAATGTCAACTATGGACTTTGGGTTATAATGATATGTCAGTGTAGGTTCATCAATAATAAGAAATGTATCATTCTGGTAGATGTTGATAACTGGGGAGGTTGTCGTGTGTGTATGGCATATGGAAACTCAATTTTGCCATGAAACGTCTATAAAAAGTAAACTGTTAATAAAAAGAAAAGCTATACAAATATGCAAAAAAAATTAACTGAAGATAGACTCAAACACTTTTAGATGTTATATGTTATACTCTGAATAAGAGCTGGAGAGTTTTTGACAACTAGGTAGCTTCTGTGATAAATTTTCTGAGTTTAGATTAACTTACTGTTGTTTTCTATTTCTGATAACACTAAAAACAACTTATAGTGGCAAGATATATTAACAGATATAATTATATATATCTCCTACCATTATATGAGGATATATTTTCCTCAGATATTGGCTAAATAAGGCAAGTAAAGGGAATTTTGATGACCATGCGAAGAAAATGCCAATTCTAACTATAGATAAAATGTGAAAAATTTGAAAAAGTTTAAAAGTAAAATAGATCGATATACAGTGGTAGTTTATAGGAAATATTTTTGAAACATGTCTGAGTTATTTTATAGAAGGAATACTAGATAAATATATAAGCCTAAAAAATTAATTTAAGCAAAGTAAACAATTAACATTAAGAATATATTTAATAGGAATATAATGAACATAAACTGATGAACAAAAATAGATCCAGAAATATAGAAGCATCAAACAGACTGTCAAACCTCAGAGGGAAGGTAGGGGAGGGTGGGAGGGGGTAAAGATCAAACAAAGGACTTGTATGCATGCATGTAAGCATAACCAATAGACACACACATTAGGGGGTGAGGGCCTGTACTGGGGGGTGGGAGCAGGCTGGGAGTGGGCAATGGGGGCAAAAAGGAGACATATGTTAATACTTTCAACAATAAAGAATTTTTTAAAAAAATAATATGCTTAATAATGAAGACAAGCTAAAGACTCAATGAATAAAAATCAAATTTTTATTGGGTAAGGAAATCTTATAAAATGGAAAATGACTGTCATAAATTTCCTTCCTATTGTATTTAAGACTACGATTCCCACTGAGTCTGCTAATAAATCATCTGAAGAAAATACCTTGAATGATTGATCCAAATGAAGATTCAAAAGAAGTCTCTTTCGGTTATCATTCAGCATGCTATCTATTTTTTTCATATGAGGCAAAAGTAGCTCATCTAAAACAAGATAAAAGTTTATTATAATAGGATAAACTATCAACAAAAACTCGTTAAAGTTTTTCACATCATTAATATATCAAGACATTAATTTAATTGGCTTGTATAAAGTAATGCTTTTGAAAATTAGGACATGAAGTTTTCTGAACAAAAGCTAACTTGAAAAATAGGTTTACAATAGTCAAGTGAGAAAAAAGCATGATCCTAGTATGAAAGGATTAAAAGTCCTAGGTTTTACCCTTCTCCGCCACCAGAATTGATTGATAGCAGTGATTTGACAAGTAGGCAAGCTGTCTGATTTCTCCAGACCTCATTTACAATCTGAACAATAATAGTATTATAATTATTGGAAATTTATTTAACACTAGAGGCCCTGCACCAGTGGGGTCCCTCAGCTTGGCCTGTGGGATAGGGCCGAAACCGGCTCTCTGACATCCCGAGCGGTCCCGGATTCGAGAGGGCACAGGCCAGGCCGATGCACCCACTGGTGCACGATCGTGGCTGGGGAGGGATGTGGGAGGTTGGGCAGCTGGGGAGGGACTGTGGGAAGGCTCCAAGGCATGTCTGGCCCGTCTTGCTCAGTCCCAATCTGCTGGATCCCAGGAGCAAGCTAACCTACCGATGGGAGAATCTGCCCCCTGGTGGTCAGTGCATGTCATAGTGAGCGGTTGAGCGACCTTAGCATATCATTCGCATATTACCCTTGATTTGTTCAACAGCCAACTGACCAGCCACTTAGCATATTAGGCTTTTATTATATAGGATTATAAAATTTTCTAAAATACTGAGGATGATATTCTTAATTCACTGTAGTTTGGGGCAAAGAAAAAGGAGGGAAAGGCCCTGTCTTGGTTGCTTGGTTGGTTGGAGTGTCATCCTGTATACCAGAGGGTTGTGGGTTCAATCCCCAGTTAGAGCATGTGCAAGAGGCAACCCATCAATGTTTCTCTTTCTCTTTACCTTTACCACTCTCTCAGTCAATAAAAAAAGCATGTCCTCAGGTGAGGATTAAAATAATTAGTTAACTTAAAATAGTAGGGGAAGAAAAATGATCAAAATCCAGTTTTAAAAACACAAGAGTCAACACAGTTATTTTAAAAAAGCACCTTCAGAATATAAATTTAATTACTTTTGGTGTTGTATTAAATATTTTAGGTTATTAGAGGATTTCTTTTTCTTTCTTTGTTCTTTGCTTTCTCTTTCTCAATTATCCTCATCTGAAGACACGTGTTTTGTTTTTTTTTATATATTTTACTGATTTTTTACAGAGGAAGGGAGAGGGATAGAGAGTTAGAAACATTGATCAGCTGCCTCCTGCACACCCCCTACTGGGGATGTGGCCGCAACCAAGATACATGCCCTTGATTGGAATCGAACCTGGGACCCCTCAGTCCGCAGGCTGATGCTCTATCCGCTGAGCCAAACTGGTTAAGGCCGAAGACATGTTTTTATTGATTTTTTTAGAGAGAGGAAGGGAGAGTGAGAAACCTCAATGTGAGAGAGAAACATCAATCAGTTGCCTCCTTTACGGCCCCAACTGGGGATTGAACCTGCAACCTTTAGGTGTACAGGATAATACTCCAGCCAACGAAGCCACTGGGACAGAGCTAGATGCTGATGTTTTGTAACATGAATAACCTTTAATGACCTTTCTGAAAATGTATATATAATCCTCTGGATCTAGTTTCTAATTTCAGAGATGAATAAAACCACTCTTAATATATTTAAAATACAAACACAAGCATAGTGACCAGTGAAAGAACACGTCTCCTAATTGAAGAAAAAGTCCTTAGTGAGGAACACTTTTTAAGGTCACACAATAACACACCTGATAGTTTTCTTTTATCTTTCTAGTAGTGATTAATTCTATTCAAATACTATGAGAATTACATTAAACAAAAACAAGTTTTACATACTTATGAATTTTTAAATATAACCATTAAAATCTTTCCCCCTCATATTATATGGAGAAAAATAAGAAGATAAGCAATATTAAAAAATCATTTAAAATACAACTGTTGAGAAATGACCACTGCTAAGAGATGTGTATTTTATGATGCAAGAAGCTTTGAGAGTGGAAAACATTTAATGGCAAAAATACCAACCCAGAAATTAAGTATTGTTTTTGTTGTTGTTAATTCTCACTCAAGGATACTTTTCCATTGATTTTTACTTTTTTTCCTTAAATATATTTTATTGATTTTTTACAGTGAAGAAGGGAGAGGGATAGAGAGTCAGAAACATCAATGAGAGAGAGACATCGATCAGCTGCCTCCTGCACACCTCCTACTGAGGATGTGCCCGCAACCAAGGTACATGCCCTTGACCGGAATCGAACCTGGGACTCTTCAGTCCGCAGGCCGACGCTCCATCCACTGAGCCAAACTGGCTAGGCTCCATTGATTTTTAGAAAGTAGAAGTGGGGGAGAAAAGAGAGAGAAACATCTATGTGAGAGAGAGACATTGATTGGTTGCCTCCCTCGGGGATTGAGCCTGCAACCAAGGTATATGACCTTGACCGCAATGGAACCCAGGACCCTTCAGTCCATGGGCTGACAGTTTATCCACTGAGCCAAACCAGCTAGAGCCACTATTGGGTTTTGATCATGGTTCATCTACCACTAACTTGTTAACTTAGGAAATACATTTAATCTTTTTGAACCTTAGTCTGCCAAATAAATATTTTTGACTAGACAATCTCTAACTCTAAAATGATGTACAGATTATATCAGATGGTCAAAAAAGCATGGACCAGAAATTAGAAGACCTTTGATCTTAATCCTTTGCTACTTGCAAGCTGTGGGCCCTTAAGCAAGTCACTTAACCTCTGATCCACACTGTCTTTATCCACCAAAATGGATGTTCAAGTTCTTCTGGGATTGAAATGGAATAGCCTGGCAAAATATGTGGAAATAATAAGACAATATGTATTATTAGGCATTACGGTTGAGATATCTGATTTTCTTTTGATCTTATACCTGTTCAATTCATTTTGATATAAGGGTAATGAAAATTAGCTCATTAATCCTTTCATTCCTTCTTAAAAAACAACAACCAAGTATTGATTTCAGAGAGAGGAAGGGAGAAGGAGAGAGAGAAACATGAATGATGAGAGAGAATCATTACTGACTGCCTCTGCACACCCCACACTGGAGATTGAGCCCACAACCTGGGCATGTGCCCTGACTGGGAATCGAACCATGGCCTCCTGGTTCATGGGTTGATGCTCAACCACTGAGCACACCAGCAGGGCTCATTCCTTCTTTCAGTTGTCCCTGGTAAAAACTAAAGTGGCTGAAGGCTAAGTATTACTGAGCAACATTAGCTATGTGAATTTTAAGTTTATTTCATATATCAATTTTATCCCTATTTTATTATAATAAAAAATTACTAAAGTATAAAGAAATATTAATGAATGTAACCCAATGCATATAGTTTTACCACTAATAAATTAGAAAATAATTACTGTGATGTATCTTTTACTGACACAAGTATACAGTTTTAATTTTTATATCATTATCTGATTCATCTTTTCAATTACTGTATCTGGATCTTTCATGATATACATGAAATATTATGAGGATGATAAAGATTCCGCAGTTGAAAGAAACTATTGGTTAGTTACATAATTTTACCATGAATAGAAATCAATAAAAGTACATCCAATATAAAGTTGTTCAAATATTCAGAAAAGTCATGAAAAGATATTACCATTTTACAGAATAAATATATATCATGGATTTAATTAATTATTATTATTTTAAAATTTATATTTATTGTTGAAAGTATTACAGATGTCCTCCCCCTTTCTTTCTCATTGACCTCCTCCCACCCTGCACTGCCCCTCCCAGGCCTACACCACACTATTGTCCGTGTCCATGGGCTATGCATATCATTGATTTGTTAATGGACGAAGTATAGGTATATGTTACAAAAACCATACATTAAACACATAACTAAAACACAAGAATAAAATAGATCCATAAAGTACTACCAAAAAAGTACTATTTAGCAGACTGTACCATTGCTCTTCTCTAAGGCTTGCATTGTGTCAGGGTCCAAAGCAATGCTAACAAGCAATTCCATGTAACTCTTAAAGGTTTCCTTCATTGCTCTTGTGTTCAAAAAACGAGTGACAAAGGGAGCTGGAGGATCAAATTCTGGGAGGGAGAAAAGATGAAATATTAAATATTCTTTCCTGACAACTTTAAAAAACAGGTTTCTCTATAACAAGACTATATAAGCAGATGAAAGGATGTAGATAAAATTTCTCAAATTAAAATGGTTCTCCCACTCTGCTTTTAAAAACACCCTGGTGAGAGAATTTGAAAGCTTGTTTATACCTGCGAAACAACTGCCCCCCCCGCCCCCGCCGCCCCGATTGCTAGATTTATTAAAACATGATCTTTTGACAAGGGATGGAAGTTGCAATGAAGCTTAATTATACTTTATAAAAGGTTCCTAGGTGACTCTGAAGCCCAACACCAGTTCAGCCTCATCAGAACCTATTTCTCCTCCCTGGGCCCTATCACAGACAGGAGAAGTACATATAAAACGCTTCTGCTATGAAGTGTGATGGTTATCTCCAGGAAGATCATCCATATAACTGTTTGAGTCATAAAGTAAACTAGACACCTTTTCCCTATGGGACACACCATTCTTAAAAAAATAATACTGTATTGATTTTTAGAGAGAGGGGAAGGGGAGAGAAACATCAATGTGAAAGTGCAACATTGATCGGATGCCTCCTGCATGCCTCCTACTGGGAACAGAGCCCATAATCCTGACATATGCTCTGATCAGGAGTAGAACCAGCAACCTCCTGGTGCATGGGATAACACCCAATCAACTGAGCCACAGCAGCCAAAGCTGGGACACCATTTTTATCTAAAAGAATGACTGACAGACACAGCATGCCTATTCAGACTTAAGTACGCAGCAGACATTTTCTTAAATCAATGCAGTGGCCTTAGCTGGTTTGGCTCAGTAGATAGAGCATCAGCCTGTGGACTCGATTCTGGTCAAGGGCACGTTACCTTGCTTGCAGGCTCCCGGTCCTGGTGGGAGAGGAGGCAACCAATTGATGTGTCTCTCTCATATCAGTCCTTCTCTCTGTCTCTCCCTCTCTCTTCCACTCTCTCTAAAAATCAGTAGAAAAACATCCTAGAGTGAGGATTAAAAAAAAATTTAATGAAGTGAATCTATCACTTCAAGGAAAACAACTAATGGTATTTGTTGCCAATAATAAAAATTGAGGTTTCAAGTGAAAATTAGAATTCTGGAAAAATTATATCTACCATTGTCCCAATACTTAAGGACTTCATCAATGAGAACAGAGGTGGTATTAATAAATGTTTTTTTTTTTCAAATATTTTATTGATTTTTTACAGAGAGGAAGGGAGAGAGATAGAGAGTTAGAAACATCGATGAGAGAGAAACATCGATCAGCTGCCTCCTGCACATCTCCCACTGGGGATGTGCCCGCAACCCAGGTACATGCCCTTGACCGGAATCGAACCTGGGACCTTTCAGTCCGCAGACCGACGCTCTATCCACTGAGCCAAACCGGTTTCGGCAATAAATGTTATTTTTGATACTATAAAAATATGACATAAAAATAAGAGGTAAAACCATAAAACTTTTAAGAAAATATAGGAATAAATATTTATGACTTGGGACTTGGTAATGGATTCTAAATATAACACTGAAAGCAGAAGCAATTAAAGAAAAATTTGGCTTCATTAGAATTTCAAACTTTTGTGCATTAAAGGACATTATTTAAAAAGTGAAACGTTGCCCTAGCCCAGTGATGGCGAACCTATGACACGCGTGTCAGAGGTGATACGCGAACTCATTTTTTCGTTGATTTTTCTTTATTAAATGGCATTTAAATATATAAGATAAATATCAAAAATATAAGTCTTTGTTTTACTATGGTTGCAAATATCAAAAAATTTCTATATGTGACACGGCACCAGAGTTAAGTTAGGGTTTTTCAAAATGCTGACACGCCGAGCTTAAAAGGTTCGCCATCACTGCCCTAGCCGGTTTGGCTGAGTAGATAGTGTGTTGGCCTGTGGACCGAAGGGCCCTAGGTTCAATTCCGGTCAAGGGCACATGCCTGGGTTTCAGGCTGGATCCAACGTTCAGGAGGCAGCCAATCAATGATTCCCTCTCATCACTGATGTTTCTGTCTCTCTCTTACTCTCCCTTCCTCTCTGAAATCAGTAATAATAAAAAAAAGTGAAAAAAAAAGTGAAATGTCAACCTACAAATTGGAAGAAAATGTTTTTAAATTATATATCTGATAAGTATTAAATATCTAAACTGCATAAAAAACACCCACAACTCAAGAACAAAAGGAAAAATGACCCAATTTAAAAATGTTCAAAGGATTTGAATAGACATTTCTGCATAGATAAGCAAATGGCAAGTACATGAAAAGATGCTGAACACCATTAGAGGTTAGGAAAATGTAAGTCAAAACCACAGGGAGACACCACTATAAATAACAAATAAGTGTTGGTACAGACGTGAAGAAATTGGAACCCCCATGCATTGCTGGTAGGAATGTAAAATGGGCAACGATAGTGAAAAACAGCTTGGCAATTTCTCAAAAAAGTAAACATACAATTGTCACATGACTCAGCAATTTCACTTCTAGGTATATATCCCAAAGAATGGAAAACAAGGACACAGATATTTATGTGCCAATGTTCACTGCAGAGGGGGAAACACTCCAAGTGTCTATCAAGAGGTTAAAAATTAAACAAAATGAATGTATATACAAGTGGATAAACTTACAATGGGATAGTACTGGGCCATAAAAGGAATGAAGTTCTAATTCATGCTATAATATGGATGAACCTTGGAAACATTATGCTAAATGAAATAAGCCAGGTACACTTATACGAGATATTTAGAATAGGCAAATTCATGAAGACAGAAAGTAGATTAGAGATTACCAGCAGCTGGGGGAAGGGGAGTTAATGCTTATAGTTACAAAGCTTCTGTTTGGGGTGATGAAAGTTTTGGAAATAGTTGTGATAGTTGCATAATAATGTGAATATAATTAACGCTACTGATTTGTATACTTAAAAATGGTTAAGATCTAGCCGACTTGGCTCAGTGGCTAGAGAGTCAGCCTGCAGACTGAAGGGTCCCAAGTTTGATTCCGGCCAAGGGCACATGCCTGGGTTGTGGGCTCGATCCCCAGTAGGGGGCGTGCAGGAGGCAGCCAAATGATTCTCTCTCATCATTGATGTTTCCATCTCTCTCTCCTCTCCCTTCCTCTCTAAAATCAATAAAGAAATATATTTTTTAAAAAAATAAAAATAAAAATGGTTAAAATGGCAAATTTTGTTCTATTTTACCACAACTTTTAAAAATATGATGAAAATGAAATAAAATATGTACATCAGTGAGCAAAGAAGTATCTTCACATGACCAATGAAAGTTATAAAATCATTCATGGATCAAAGATATATTCAAAAGGTAAGATGAACCACTAGATCTTAATGTAACAGGAATGAAAAGTTGAAGAAACTAGCACTTCTCAAGTTTGTCAAATAAAAAATTTCCTTGAGTAACAAAAACATCCATAATTATCTGAAAAGGTAATTAAAATACTCCTCTCTGTCCCAACTACATATCTATGTAAGGCTGAGTTTTCTTCATATACTTTAACCAAAATAATCTATATTATAAAAGGCCTGTGCCGTAACGCCCAAAGACGGAACTCACCAGGAGGTGTATTGATGGGTCCCGTGGTTGCTGCGGCAGGCAGGACTTGTGGGTCACCAGGAGGTGCATGAAGCACCTCTTGTTCCCCCCTCTTACCCCCGAAAGCTGCTCACGGTGGCGGGGCCTGCGGCTGGGGACCCACGGCTTTCGGCAGCTAGTATATAATAACAAACTGAATGTAGAAGCAAATATGAAAATGCTACTCTTCTAAATACTGTTAACTTAGGAAAATACAGTTAAAAAACTTAATATCTAATTGGTTTGTTTTAAAGAAATATTTTTAAAATTTGTTTTAACTGATACTTAGTAAATATAAATAATAGAAAACCTAAGTATTTTGGAATCCTCACTCTATCGTCACTTAAAGGTTATTAAGAAGTTTGTTTGTTTTTTAAATATAGTTTATTGATTTTTTACAGAGAGGAAGGGAGAGAGAGTTAGAAACATCGATGAGAGAGAAACATCGATCAGCCGCCTCCTGCACACTCCCCACTGGGGACGTGCCTGCAACCAAGGTACATGCCCTTGACCGGAATCGAACCTGGGACCCTTGAGTCCGCAGGCCGACACTCTATCCACTGAGCCAAACCGGTTAGGGCTATTAAGAAGTTTTGAAATAAATAGGTTGGAAACTAAAAGCCTGTAAATTTATATTTATTATTAATATTTGTCTTCTTGCCCTGGCCAGTTTGACTTAATGGTTAGAGCACTGCCCCGCAGACTGAAGGGTCTTGAATTATCAGTCAAGTGCATGTACCTGGGTTGCAGGTTCCCCAGGTTCGATACCTGGTTGGGGCAGGAGGCAACCAATAGATGTGTTTCTCTCATATCAATGTTTCTCTGTCTCTACACCTCCCTTACACTTTCTCTAAAAAAGTATATTTTGTTGTGTCTTCACCCCTCTACCCTTCTCTAAAAAAAAAAAAAAAAAAAAAAGTCATGGGAAAAATATCCTCAGGTGAGGACTAACTACATTTATTTGCCTTCTTTTTAAGTAGTACTAAAAATGTTTGCCTAACTTTAAGTGACACCTAGTGGTTACTCAAATTACCAATGAAAGAAAAATATTATTGTGATTGTCTTTTGGTAAATTTAGTGTATGCTCAGAACCCATACCTCTCTATTCCTAAGAGTAAGTAGGCCTGGCCAGTGTTGCTAAATGGTTAGAATGTGTCCGATCACCAGCCCAACCGGGCGCATGCAGGAAGCAACCAACCAATGTGCCGCTCTCACAGCAATGTTCCTTTCTCTCTCCTCCTTTCCCTCTCCTTCCCTTTCACTCTCTCTCTTAAAAAAAAAAAATCAATGGGAAAAATGTCCGTGGGGAAGCATTAACAACAACAAAAAAGTAAGTAGGAATGTTAATGCAAAAATTTTCTATGCCTTCCATACATACGCAAAGCACTGAATTCCTTTATAAATTCTGATATGCACACTTCTAAACAACCATTCCTAAGTAGCTTTTAAAAACAGTACATTTTAAGTCAACTTTTGCCCTGAGGAAGAATTTTTATGATGATTCTATTTCAATTCAAATAATCCCTAAGATTAGCTACCAAGTACTGATACTTGTCATGTGAGAAACCATTCTGGACATCAGACAGTAGCCTCCCATAACCAATTCATCATTCGAGTTCTGCCAAGATTACAAACTAAATTTCTCAAATGTGTCTCCTCTCTTCCCTCCATCCCTGCTGCCACAACTTAGGTTCAGATTTTCAATTTATATCTAAACTATGATGTCTTGTAATTCAATTTCAAAGTTCTCATGTTGTTTCCTACTTAAGTCCCTCCAAGGACTCTCCTTTGTTTACAGGATCCCAAGTTTTCAGCTTTAGCATGGCATACATGGTATTCCATCAACCTTTCATCTTTTCCTTCCTACCTTCAACTTTATGCTCTAATATAGAAGGATCAGCAAACCTTTTCTGTAAAGAGCCAGATGGTGAATATTGAAGCTTTAATGGTCATATGCTCTCTGTAATAACTACTTAAATCTGTGGTTGGAAAGCAACAGTATGAAATATGCAAATGAATCGGTATGCCAATAAAACTTTATTTATAGACTAGGTTGCAGATCCTATTCGGCTCACTGTCGAGAGTTTGCTACCTCTGCTCTAGACTACGGAACCATTTGAAATTTCTTGCCTATTGTAATTATACAATAAGTTTGATGGCTAATGAAATGTGTACTGACATTTTCTTGTGTTTTACAACAACCCGAGGTTTTATTTCTAAGAAAGTAAATATTTATGTATAACCTACATAAATGCTCTTTGGTGTTTCCAAAATTTTTAAGAGTGAACAAGGGTTCTAAGGTAAGAAAAAATTGATAACTGCTGATTTATTTCAATCTTTTCATGTTATAAAAGAGAAGTAAAGCACAGAGAGGTTACCTAGCTTAGCCATGGGCAACTGGTTGGCTGGTGGCAGTATGCATTACAGTATACTAGAGGCCCGGTGCACAAAATTCATGCACAGGAGAGGGGGTGTCCTTCAGCCCAGCCTGCACCCTCTCCAATCTGGGACCCCTTTGGGGATGTCTGCCTGCCGGTTGGGCCTAAACTGGCAGTCAGACATCCCTCTCTGATTGCCCCCTAACTGCTTGCTCCCCTGCTGGCCTGATCGCCCCTAACTGCCTCTGCCTTGGCCCCCACCACCGTGGCTTTGTCCAGAAGGAAGGCAGGATGACTGGAAGATGTCCAGTCGACCTGGTCTAATTAGCATATTACCCTTTTATTAGTATATGATTGATAAAATCCCATATATATATATGAATATCCTATATAATGAGGAATATGCTAATTATCCATAATGCCCTGAGGTGTAACGACCAAGCGCATCACAACCAGATCACGGATCAGCAGGAGGGTGGGCCAGCGAGGTACAAGTGGGCTGTGGAGAGCTACAGGAGAGTGCAGGGCAACAAGCTATGAGGGGGTGCAGGGGGAGATACAGGAGGGCGGCAGCGACCTACTGGCGCACGGATTCATGCACAGGGCTACAAATATATACATATATATATATGGTTTCAGAGTTGCTGCCTCCTAGGCTTATTTTACTCTTCTAGCATAAACACAAACTCAGGAATTCAGAACTAAAGCAGTGGTTCTCAACCTTCTGGCCCTTTAAATACAGTTCCTCATGTTGTGACCCAACCATAAAATTATTTTCGTTGCTACTTCATAACTGTAATGTTGCTACTGTTATGAATCGTAATGTAAATATCTGATATGCAGGACAGTCTTAGGTGACCCCCAAGAAAGGGTCGTTCGACCGCCAAAGGGGTCGCGACCCACAGGTTGAGAACTGCTGAACTAGAGGATTCTTAGTAAATCATCTGAGAACTGGCATTACTAAGGTCTTCTTCAGTTCACTGCTTTTTCTACTTCACAAGGCTATATGTGGGCAAACTGATCAGGGAAAGTGAATTTATTTTTATAAAAGTCTGATTAGGTAGCTAAACCCCCTAAAGATAAATAAATATTGAATCATCAGCACCACTGCTTCTCCCCATTTATGTAAAAGATGTAAAGTAATTAAGGTACTCATTTCATGGAGAACTCACCCTCATTACTACTATTAGAGTGGACCTCAGGAGATGAATCAGACTGGGATGATGAAAATTCTTCTTTCCATTTCTTTCGTTTCTTTGGTGGTGGCTCAGCCTTTACCTTTAGCTGTTTACCTTTGGGTTTCATGGAAGGGGCTTTTGTAGTCGTTTTTGGTGTTGGAGGATCAGAAGTTTTACTGCTATTACTAGGCTTCGCCGGAACAGTTCTGTAATGTTATAAACAGACTTCATTAACACACTGAAATCTTGTCAAATTAAAATAAATTAGAACAAATGAAAAAAAAAACAAAACCAAAAGCGAAAGACTGGAGAATACTTTCAGTTCCTCAATAGCTCCAAAATAAAGTCCAAGTCCTATACCTCTCCAATGCTGAATCCCCCAAATTCTCTTGAAATGCATTCTTTACTGACATTCAAAACTCAGTTACTAAGGGACTATTAATTCAGTCCCTATTTCTCTCTCTTCACTACCCCCTCCCTTTATGAACTAATTTTCCCAAATATGAGGCTGTATAGCACAGGGGTGGGCAACCCTTGGCATAGGTGCCAAACATGGCATGCCAGTAACTTTTGCTGACACGCAAAACCCTCTCTTATAATCTTCCATTTACAATTTTTTTCTTAATATCGACTTTTTTATTTTTCAGATAAATTCAGTGTAGATGCATCTTAGATATAACAAGTTATCTTAAAGACCATAGACATGGATTGACGAGAGAGGGGAAGAGCAATTTCTATGCCTCCGCCTTAACTCTCCCTGCCTTCCTAGATCCGACCAGTGTTTTGGTTTCATCCATATATGCTTGTGAATCTTTGTTCTCAGTGATGAATTTTGTTAAGTCTCGTAATAGGAGTAGCCTGACGGATGAAAGTAGTAGCTCGTGCCATCATCATATACTGTGTTTTTGTCGCTCGAATGAATTTTATTATTTCTTCAAGGATCTTCATATACATAACGGTTAAGAGATATCAAGTAGGCATAACATGTTCTCAAAAAATTAGGGTTGGCACGCAGAAGAATTTTGAGTCAGAGATTTTGCAGGTTTTGGCACGCACTCACAGAAAGGTTGCCCACCCCTGGTATAGCAGATGATCAGTGGGCTTTGGGAAGTAATACATGATAAACCCTTCAAAGCTACATCTAGCTGTAAACATAAAAAACTCACATGTGGTGCAGGTTTTGATGTGGAGACCCAACTGTATCTGTCCTGGAGCCCCTTAAGATTTACGATAGCCCAAGCTGGTTTGGTTCAGTGGATAGAGCAACGGCCTGCGGACAGAAGGGTCCCGGGTTCGATTGCAATTAAGGGCACATGCCTGGTCTCTGGGCTCGATCCCCAATAGGAGGCATGCAGGAGGCAGCCAATCAATGATTCTCATCATTGATGTTTCTCTCTCTCCCTTTCTCTGAAGTCAATAAAAATATATTAAAAAGAAGATCTGCTATATACAAGTGCTAGAGATTTAAATGGACCAAATTCCGTTATAAAAATAAGGTGGGCTGTTTCCAATAAGTTGGAATTTTAATCAACTAGACCTTCCTAGCACTAGATTGAGAATAACTAGTGCAGCAGTTCTCAACCTGTGGGTTGCGACCCCTTTGGCGGTCTAACGACCCTTTCACGCCTAAGATCATCCTGTGATATTTACATTACGATTCATAACAGTAGCAACATTACAGTTATGAAGTAGCAATGAAAATAATTTTATGGTTGGGTCACAACATGAGGGACTGTATTTAAAGGACCAGAAGGTTGAGAACCACTGAACTAGTGTATCTCCTTTCCCATACAGACCACAGGGAATGTGGCTAGGTCAGTGTCCTTCCAGATTCATGCTGCCAACAACTCAGTTACATTAGTATGATGATAATTCTATTGTACACTTGCTTAATAATATACACTGAGTGGCCAGATTATTATGACCACCTGACGTTTGTAGGCAAATTAGCTATAATTTCGTGCTGAAGTTGCTAGAGGGCCAGACCATTATAAATAGGGAAGCAGGTTGTTTACCAAAACAGAAGTGATTTTTTTCTTAAGATATGGGTAAACAATGCGATTTAACAACCTTTGAATGCGGGATATATATTATTATGACTGGCCAAATTATTATGACCACTCCATCAGTACTTCATTAGGCCACCTTTTGCCTTCAATACTGAGGCATTCTTCTTGGCATTGACTCCACGAGATGTCGATGTGAAGCCAAAGGCCTGTTCGAACACCTTTGCTGTCTGCAGTTACCAAGATAAAACGTCTCCAATTCGCACAGGAACACAAGGATTGAACAGTCGAGCATTGGAAAAAAGTCATGTGGTCCGATGAGTCACGTTTCCAGTTGCATCATGCAGATGGCAGAGTGAGAATTTGGCGGAAACAGCATGAAAGCATGCACCCCACATACATGAGTACAACCCTTCAAGCTGGTGGGGGCAGTGTTATGGTTTGGCGCATGTTTTCCTGGCATGATTTGGGCCCTTTAATTCATGTGGAACAATGTCTGAATAGCACAACAAACCATTATCATTTTCAACAAACCATTATACTTTATGTATAAAAAGATTGTCTTACTCTAGGTCACAAAAAGCTGGACTCAAACCTTGATTACAAATTTTTTTTCTTCTCACTTCTTCAAAAAGAATTAATTATTCCCTAGGGCTGAATTTTTAGACTTGTATATAATGAGGGGAAAATCTGTCTCTTTGATATAATTCTTTTTTTTAATATATTTTATTGATTTTTTACAGAGAGGAAGGGAGAGGGATAGAGAGTTAGAAACATCGATGAGAGAGAAACATCGACCAGCTGCCTCTTGCACACCTCCTACTGGGATGTGCCCGCAACCAAGGTACATGCCCTTGAGCAGAATCGAACCTGAGACCTTTCAGTCTGCAGGCCGATGCTCTATCCACTGAGCCAAACTGGTTTGGCTGATATAATTCTTTATGCAAGACATCATCAATAATAAGCTCTCCAATAATTACTACACAAACATCTATAATAATAAAAGTGTAATATGCTAATTAGACCAGACATCCTTCTGGGTGACTTTCCGGAAGAAGCTGGGACTGTGAGGGAAGCCCAGGTCCTGGGTGCCTGCCGGTGGCCGGAGGGAAGCCAGTGCCGGCAGCCAGGGGAAGGAAGGCCTACTCTTTTTAAAAAATGTATATTTTATTGATTTTTTACAGAGAGGAAGGGAGAGGGATACAGAGTTAGAAACAATCAGCTGCCTCCTGCACACCTCCTACTGGGGATGTGCCCGCAACCAAGGTACATGCTCTTTTTTATTTTAAGTATATTTTATTGATTTTTTACAGAGAGGAAGAGAGAGCGTGCTGCCCACCGGGCTTCCACGTGGCACCGCTGGGCAGCCCAGAGGCCCAGGCTGCGCCCTAGCCCATGGCATCCAGCCACATTAATCGCATATCTGCACGGGGACTCGGGCGCCGTGACTCAGGCGGAGGGGGCGCGTGGGGGCCCGGGAGGCCAAGAGGTCAGCTGGGACCTGCCCTTCCACGCCAGATGCTTGCGCTTTGATCATCAGCCAGGTCTAGGACCACACCCATGCACAAATTTCATGCACCGGGCTTCTAGTATTACATAAAAAAATAAGTACCTGCTAGTTTGTGAAGGCTTACTTCTTGGCTTTTTGGAACACACTCTGACATATTCCTTTTTGTTTGTATTTTCAATGAACTTCACATATATCCTTTTGTATTTACTCTTTGCGTCTCCAAAATATCCAAGGTACTAAGGAAAAAGTAACACTTTGAATTACATAATTATACATTCTGTACATAGAATATTACTTTGTCAGCTTGAATGTCACATAACCATCCTTCATGTTTTCAAAATGCAGCTCTGGGCAGGGTAATTGCACCCTTAATAAAAATGATCCTAGGCTAATTCTTAACTGCAGGCTCATACACAGAAGCAATTTCATTTGGTTAATTATCAGATATTTACTTACACAATGCTATTAAATAAGTACATAAGTACAAAAGAATAACCTCTGTAAATCTTCTGGTAAATCGGGATAATCAACATTAAGCATCTCTGAGCCCATCTAAACTCTTACCTTCCACCAGCAAAAAGATTATGACTCACTTTATTGTGGTGTTCTGAAACTGAAGCTGCAACATCTCCAAGGTATGCCTGTACTCTGTTATTCAAATTGTATGCTATTTTATAAATGCTCAATATAAAATATATTTAAATTTAAATCATTCTATATTTTCCACAGGATCCCTGTCAAAAAATAGGAAAGCTAATATAAACAAACATTTTGCTTACACTATTTGTAGCAGCAAATTCTCTTTGCCCAACTCGAACTTCAGGAACAAACTTCTGTAATAAAGCTTTTTGTACTTTCCAAATAGCTGGCGGTTCTTTTCCTGTTTTTAAAGCCTCCTATAATAAGTAGAATTGATTACATTTACAAACACTAGCAACATATTCTAAATTTATAGAATCTTAGAGCTAAAAGGAATCTTAAAAACCTATCTAGAGCAACCTTTTATCTTTTACCTTAGCTGAATTTTTATAATAATTCATAAGCTGGCTATTCAGTCTCTGCTTAAATTCTTCCAGATATAGGGAGCACACCAACATGCAAAGTAGCCCATTACCCTTTTGTATAGCTATTGGAAAATTTTTCTGATATTTTCATGTATTGCTTATGCAATTTTATAACAGTAGATACATATTTTAAAAAGACAATAAACAAATATGCTGAAATAATAACAGCAGTTAATTGTGAATGGAATATAGATAATTTGAATTTTGTACTCATTGTACTTTTTAATGCTGTTCCTTTCCACCGCAAATAAAAAATAAAACCAAAGCAAAAACACAGAAACTCAAACAGAAGTTTTCTTAAACATAGATAAAATTTTCTTGTGTGAAATTGTAAAGTTCTGCTCATGGTTCTATAATTTGAAATTATAAAAATAAGTCTAATTCTACTTTTACATTATACTCCTGTTATTTTCTTTAAACTTTAAAATTAAATAATCATTTTCTCAATCTCCTAATAGTTTACAATTGGTTGAGAGCCTTGGAAAAAAAATTAACATTTCAAAACTGCTCTAGTCGCTAGTACATAAATGCAACATATTGACTAGTCAGAAATACATAAGACTCAGATACAAGTTAAAATTATTTTAAGTTATTTTCCTTTATATAATATCTGGTATATACTAGTGATTTTATTATTGAACAATTATAAAGAATATAACTTTATGAATTTCAAGCTAGGTACATGCTAAAATAGGACATTCCCACTAAACTATACATAGCCTTTATACCTGTGAACATTCACATCACCTTAAAAGTCTCTATGTCTTCTATCTTTACCACAAACTCATCACGCTCTCTGTATTGGCCTTCTCCTCCACTTTCTGTGTTCTCATCATCTGTAAAACCTTCTATGGCAATAGTGTCTTGTCCTTTTGCAAATTGGTTTGAAGGAAGACCATCAAGTTCGATGGGTTTTGGGAGTTCTGTAGAGCCTTTATTTTCCAGGATATTTACTGCAGATGAAGTAGAGTAGAGAGGTTCTTGCTTAATTGTACCCACAGAGGTGGAGGAAGTAGTAGAAGTACCAGTAGTATTGGCAGTTAGGCTAGTAGTTACCACCTGTAGGGCTTCTGAAACTAGATCAAGCAAATACAAATAAATAATAAAAATAATTAAACATAACAGTTTAAAAAGAAACAATTATTTTTGCCTTAAAATTATTTGAAATGCCCAACTTGTGTGGCTCAGTGATTCAGCATCTATGAACCAGGAAGTCAAGGTTCGATTCCCAGTGAGGACATTATTTCCGGGTTGTGAACTTGATCCCCATTAGGGGGCATGAATGAGGCAACTGATCAATGATTCTCTCATCATTGATGTGTCCATCTCTCCCTCTCCCTTCCTCTCTGAAATCAATAAAAAATATATTTAAAAAAGTACTTGAAACAGCCAAAAACTGCAGAAAGAAATTAAAGAATGGTTAATTTTCAATAATCAAAGTGGTGAGCATTACAGACTGAGAACCTCCATTGACCTACAATGACCCTAAGTCCACTTAAGTAATATAAAGATATTTTAAAAAGAATAGAGTCACAGAAGTGATGCAAATTAAGTAAGGGTCAGCTGACCAAAGTTGTGAGATATTCCTAGAAGAACAGCCAATTGTATGTAGGAAAGGAAAACAACAACCCCAAAATATTCTGAACCAGCTCTAGAAGCCATAAAATAAAAAGGATTACAATGTAATGATATGAAAAATTGTATGCTAACAAATAACTTACATGAAATGGACAAATTTCCTAGACACAAACTACCAAAATAGACTCAAGGAAAAACTGAACATCTGGATAGACCAGTGATTTTTCCTTTTTTTAATGTTATTGATTTTTTAAAGAGAGGAAGAGAGAGGGATAGAGAGCTAGAAACATCGATGAGAGAGAAACATCGATCAGCTGCCTCCTGCACACCTCCCACTGGGGATGTGCCCGTAACCAAAGTACATGCCTTGACGGGAACGAACCTGGGACCTTTCAGTCCGAAGGTCGATGCTCTATCCACTGAGCCAAACCAGTCAGAGATAGACCAGTGATTTTCAACTGGTGTCATAAGAATTTGAAAACACGCAGTATTTAGTCAGGGGCACTGACCTCTTTTCCCTTAGATTATCTAATTTAAAAATGACAACAGCTGCCCTAGCCAGTGTTTCTCGGTGGGTTGAGCTTCGCCCCATGCACTAAGAGGTCACCAGTTCGATTCCTCGTTAGGGCACATGCCTAGGTTGTGTGCTTGATCCCCAGTAGGGGGCATGCAGAAGGTAGCCAATCAGTGTTGATGTTTTTCGCTCTCTCCCTCTCCTTTCTTCTCTCAAATTAATAAAAACATTTTTAAAATGACAACAGCCATCAGTGGAAACGAATCAAAATTATACCTATTTTTTTTGTCAGATCAGCACGAAATATACTTTTGGGATGCCGTAGAATTTTAGTAATTAGTTTATGTGTGCCATGAGATGAAAAAGGTTGAAAATTATTGGAATAGACCAATAACAAATAAAGAGAATAAAAGAAATTTTAAAACACCCCACAAAGATAAGCACATGCCTAAATGGGTTTACCTAACAGTTCAATAAGAATACTAATCCCTGCTAAACTCCAAAAAATAGGAGGAAGTACTTCCAGACTCATTTTATGAGACTGGTATTATTCCAATACCTAAACCAGACAAAAACACCATGGAAAAAAACTATAGATCAGTATCCCTCATGAATATATACACAAAAATCTCCAAAACAAACAAAAAAATTATGAGAAAATCTACCAACATAAAAAAGAATGACCCAAGTGGGCTTTATCCTAGGAATGCATGCTTAGTTTAACATCGGAAAATCAACCAATCATCATATTGATATAAAAAAGTAAAAAAACCAAGGATCATCTCAATGAGCACAAAAAAAGCATTTGACAAAATTCAGTATCATGAATAAACACTTTCATGATACAAATACTCACAACCTAAAAAGAGAAGGGAACGTCTTCAACCTGATAAAGGGTATCTATCTATAAAAATCCCAGTTAACATCACGCTTATTAGAAAAGAAATAATTCTGACTTTCAGTCTTATTATTTAAGAAATATATTTCATGCCTAAATTGGTTTAATTATACAAATCACTGTACTTTTATGTTTGAAAATTTCTATAATGAAGCAAATATTTTTTTAAAGTGTGTAACTTCCAAACTAGTAGAGAGATAAATGTATAATACTGTATGATGTTCTTTATATGAAGTTTTAAAACAAGCCAAAACAAAAGTATAGTGTGTAGGGATGCATACACAGGTGGTAAAATGATAGAAGAAAAGCAAGGAGTGATTACCATCCAACTCAGTGATTAATTCTAAAGGTTATGAGTTGGGTTTAATTTAATACTCAATTTATTTTTGTACTTTTTTGCTTTCTAATGTGTAGAATTTAATGTCATAAGTTTTCTTCTTTGCTCCACATTCTTGGTACATCCCATTGGTTTTAAAATACAATGCTTCACGGTCCTTTCTAAGTGGTTTGTCACTTCAGTTCTGGTTTCCTTTTTAAGCCATGAGTTGTTTAGAATTGTAACAAGTTATTTAGAAGTTTTTAAATAAAAACTTATTTTTATTTCTTTATATCTTTCTTTTTTCTTTTTGCCTGGCTGATGTGGTTTAGCTGATTGATACATAAATTGGTTTAATTATGCCAATTACCGTACTTTTGTTTACACTTGAAAATTTCCATAATTAAAAGTTAAGCAAATATCTTTTTAAAAGAATTTATAACTTTCAAATTAATTGAGGGAAAAATGTAAAATACTGTACAATGAAATTGCTGCATATGGTCAGGAAATATGGCTTAAATAATGTCTGCATTTTCAAATTTATGGAAATTTTTATGTGTTTTTCCTGTGTGTGTTATAGTCCATATGTGAGTTTTATTTCATAAGAAAAATGTTCTGAAAGAAAGAAAACAGATATAGAAAAATACACTAAATATGCTACCAATAATAAAATTAGCACAGCAATATTAAAAACAGAAATGGGAAATTAAATGGGGAAAAGAGATATTTTTTATGATAAAAGAAATTTAACTATAGTAAAATTGTATGCACCTGATTACACATAGGTTCAAAACATATCAAATAAACTGTATTAGATAAATAATTAAATGTAGTTGGAAACTTTTAACACACCTTTTTCAGGAATCAACAGATCAAGCAATCTAAAAACAAATAAGGATAGGGAGGATTTTAAAAAACTTTTTTATTATTAAACATTTCAGACATACACAAAAGTAGAGAATACAAACCCTCATGGCAACCATGAACATTTTGGTATACTTCTTTCATCTACCCATTCATCACATAGTGAAAAATGAGATATAAAGGACTTAATGAAACCTATTGCCACTCGTTACTCATGGAATTTATAAAAACTGACCATTTAACCAGCTACTAATAAAATTTCCATACATTTAAAGATGCAGACATTATTTAAGCCACATTTCCTTGATAACAATATAACAGGGCCACAAGTCAGTAATGAAAGAATACCAAAAACAACAACAAACACCAAAACCTACTAGGAAATAGGCAAAAAACCACTATTCTTAATAACTTTTGGGTTAAAAAGGAAATCAAAGCTGTAATGACAAACCATTTAGAAGGGACAGTGAGAGCATTACAAATTGAAACCAGAGGGATAGAGACAGAGTGTTGTGCAAAAAAGAAAACTAACACTTCAATGCCAATAGTTAGAAAGTGAGCAAATACAAACATGAAGTATTATACTCAAGAAGCCAAAGAGAGAATATTAAATTGAAACCAGGGAACGTAGGAAAAAAGAACTGATAAAAGCAAAAATTAAGAAAAAGTGAGTAAAAAATGATAAAAGAATAAAAAAAGTACTTAGGTTTCATGAAAAGACTCATTAAATAGGTAAACTTTTCACAAATCAATCAACAAAAAGATTCAAATAGTCATTTGGAGCAAAAAAGAACATAATTACAGAAATAGAGGGGAATAAAAACTTATGAGGGAAGACTTCGCTAAGTTGCTGAGTAGGTTAGAGCTTTGTCCTAATACACCAAGGTTGTGGGTTTGATCCCCAGTCAGAGCACATATAAGAAGCAATCAATGAATGCATAAACAAGTGGAACAACAAATAGATGTTTCTATCTCTCTCTAAAAATCAATCAATAATAATTAAAAAAAAATGTATGAGCACTGACCTAAGAACGAGAAGGTCAAAGTTCGATTCCTGGTCAGGGCACATGCTCGGGTTGCAGGTTTGATCCCCGTGTGGGGTGTGTAGGGGGCTGCCAATCAATGATTCTCTCATCACTGATGTTTCTATCTCTCTCTCTCACTCTTTCTTCCTCTCTTAAATCAATAAAAAGTTTTTTTTTAAATGTATAAGGGAATACTATGTACAATTTTATAACAACAAACTTTAAAATTAAGCAAAAGGGATGATTTTACTAAATTGACCCAGATAGATCAAACTACCTCAGGAAAAAACTGCAAAGTACCAGACATATTCTTAGAAAGTTTAACCAAATCCCTATAATATGTAATAAACTTCAAAATATTCCTGAATACAAACAAGAATAAGACAAAAGAAAACCAGTACAAACTAATCTCATTTATGAATCTAGGTCTAAAATCCTATATAATAAAAGGTTAATATGCAAATCGACCAAACAATGGAACAACCGGTTGCTATGACATGCACTGACCACCAGGGGGCAGACACTCATCAAAGGGAGAGCCCCCACAGGGGGAGCACCACTCAGCCAGAAGCCAGGCTCATGGCTGGCGAGTGCAGTGGTGGTGGCGGGTGCCTCTCCCACCTCCGTGGCAGCGCTAAGGATGTCCGACTGCCTGTTTAGTCCCGCTCCCTATGGAAAGCGGGCCTAAGCCGTCAGTCAGATGTCCCCTGAGGGCTCTCAGACTGCAAGAGGGTGCAGGCTGGGCTGATGGAACACCCCGCAAGTGCACGAATTTCGTGCACTGGGCCTCTAGTCTATAACAATAAAGGCATAATATGCTAATTAGACCGGAGGAAGCCAGGGCTGCGAGGGAAGCCCAGGTCCTGGGTGCGTGCCGGCAG